TATAGAATATTCTCCTCAAAAACCATTGAGAAAAGAAATCACAAAAATACCAGTTTAAGGTTTTCATGTTAGTCTCTTTCAAAATAATCGTTTTGTTATTCTCTCTCTCTCTCTCTCTCTCTGTGTGTGTGTGTGTGGGGGTGTGTGTGTGTGTGTGAGGGTGTGTGTGTCTGGAATAGGAGGGGGTCTTCTAAGCATTCTTATGCAATAATCCACTCTCAACACTGTCCTCCCATTTGTGTGCACAGTAAAATATCAATGGGATGTTATATACAGTCATATTTTCCTTCATCGTATCAGTCTTCTAATTGTAGGTATAATCCTCATCATTCATGAAATATGTAAAGTACAACCACAAACTGTGTAAGGTAAAGATCGAATAACTCCTCGTATATAATGCATAAGTGCTCTCTCTCTCTCTCTCTCTCTCTCTCTCTGATCTCGAGATAACATGCATTTTGAGAAAAAATTAACAAAAAAGGAATGATGAAATATTCATTTGATTCGTTGTAATATGAGACAGAAAATCTATTACATTCTACCAAAAGGGAAAATATTATCAATGTAAAATTCAGTTCACTAATTTAAAAAAATAAACGATTACAAACTAGTATTTTAACAACTTAAAATATTTCTTTTATTTTTCTTTTATTTCTAAGATTTGCTTGTAAAAGCCAAATTCTTTAGGTAAATCTTTTTAATTGGTTGTTTTGAATTAAGCATCCTGTTTTTTTTTTGTCTACATATTTCCTGGTACAGATTTTTTTCCTTTTTAATATAACCATTTATTTGGTTTACTAAAAAGGTTTAAAAGAATATTTCAACAATTTCTTTGTTAATTTGGATGGTATTTGCTTAAAGAAAGGTTCAAGTTCCTCCATTCCTACTCCTGATGAGATTAATGTTCAAAAACTAATTCATCTTAATTATCCCTGTTGATAAGTAAAGTGAATAGGCATAAATTCAGACGTTGGAAGAAAAATATTGAGAATAAGTGAAGATAAAAAAAATATATAGGATCATTCTGTTGTTTTCTAATAAGGTATGGACGTATAAGCATATACAGTTGAACTTCGGTATCTCAAACATTGATATCTCGAATATCATCGATATATCGACGTAATTTGGAAGTTTCAACCCCTTATTCTTTAAGTATTTTACCCTGAATATCTCGAATCCTCTGATGTCTCGAAGTTTTTTCTCGGTCACATTGAGTTCGATAACGAGATTTGACTGTTTTTTGTTGCCACCATGTAGCAGCTAGGGAAGTGTATAAGTGCCACATAATTTTTTTCTAAAGTTGGTAATTCCAACTTTCAAGTTGGCTTTTCCAACTTTTAAATTGAAAATTCCAACTTTAATCTTTGCTTTTCCAACTTTAAAGTTGGTAATTTCAACTTTAATTTTGGCTTTTCCAACTTTAAAGTCGGTAATTCCAGCTTTAAAGTTGGTAATTCCAATTTTGTTACCTTGACTTTTCCTTTGACCTTACAAATAACTTCCAACATTAAAAACCTATATATCATTTTGGTCCATCTTATATTATTATATAGAGAGTAACTTCATACAACTCCGTACATGACAAGATTTCAACGAAACCTACTTAAGAGATCAGACCTATATTTTTTTGTATGAGAGAATAAGCTTAAACAAATGAGATCATTATTAGGTGATTGATATATAGGATAAATCAACATTACATTACATGCTACAAATACAACTGAACTCAATGGATCAATTCTGTATATGAAAACACAATGAATTAATTCCTTCTTTCATCATAATTAAATCTTTTCTTTCCATTGTAATTACATTTATAAAGCGGCAAAACGAGTCCAACTACAAAGTATCTGAATATAACACATAAAGACATAAAAAGATGGAAAAGCCATGATTAAAGTTAGAATTAGCAACTTTAATGTTGGAAAAGCCAAGATTAAAGTTAAAATTTCCATCTTTAAAGCTGGAATTTCCATCTTTAAAGTTGGAATTAAATTTAATAATTTCCTGGCTGAAGTCGAGATGTGTGCATTACATGTACATGAGAATGTTCGTAAGCAAAGACACATTTGACACCGTTTCAACGAATGGGTGGAACTCACTGGACGACCACGTTTTTGTGTCGTGTGTAAGCCTTAATGAATTTTTGAACGGAATTTTTCTAATATTCATGTTTTTATATTTTGGTCCTGATAAGGCAAGGGCATGCGACGATGGCACACTGAATTTTTATTGACCTATTTTCCATTATCTTATATTTCATATGCTTCAATTTTCAGAATAAATATAATTTTCGGTACAACGGGAAAAAACACTTGACTTCCAAGTATTATTTTCCTTTGAAACATATACTAGATACCATATACTATGGATCATATACTACGAGGGGTTATCAAAAAGTTCGTGGACTGACGCGATAAAATTAATAATATGTAGTCTTTGCTTACAAAATTTAAGCGGAACATAAAACAACAAAAGTTTAAGAAATGTGGAAAATTTTAGCTTGATACGTTGATAATTTGCCAAATTATTCTAAAATTAAAAAGAGTTTATGTGATCACCCGGCGCTGTCGCCGTTTAGTGTCATGTCGTCCGCTTAACGTCATTGTTTCTTAATGTCCGCTCTCTCTACCTCATACACTTATCTTGATGAGATTACCTGGAGTTAAGTAAGGGCTTAAACCCGTCTTATTTATATGAATTTACAATGTCATGAGCAGCTGTTTTCAATGCATATAATATTGTAAATGGATCTTTATATGGGGAAAGATCCTCACTTGATTATGCCAGAATACTTAGCTTGTTGGAGTTCAATTTCTACCACACATGATCAGCGTCACTTTTCGACGTGACTGACTTTTGACACCCTGACTACAAATCGACACTAACTGTGCATATTTCATCTCTCTGAATCTTTTTGGGCATTAAAAAACAAGTACTCTGGATGCATTTTATTTTTCTGTAGCCAGTTTAAACATTCCTTAGGTCAATACCAGTTTTTCCAGGAGCGAAACTCTATAGAGTGTTTGAAAAAGAACCCCTCCCCCTTTTTGACGTTATTTTCAAGCCCATAATTGTTTGGACACTCCATATAAAATTTACGATAAAATTTCATAGAAATTACAGAATGGGGTAAAAATAGCAAATTTTACTGAACAAATGTGTCGTACCACATGCCTGAATTAACGAGATTTTTTGATGACAAATACTCATATCTAAAGAGTTTTTCTCAGTTACACTCAGGTAGAAAAAAAACGTCATATTAGAGGGTGCGCCGCCTGGACATACCTTTGCTTACAAAAACACTTACAATTTATTAAAAAAATAAAAATTATGATTTATGGTTTATTCTATAGATAGAAAAGATAATGCTAACTAAATGTGTAAAAATTCATTGATGTTCCTAAAGCGGTTTTAATTTTATGACGCTAGTCCACGAACGTTTTGATAACCCCTCGTAGATTAAACTTTACAAACAAGATTTCAAAAGTTGAAATTTGTTCCACGACTTATCTTTCCGTACTCTGTACTGCTATGTTAATTTTCTGGCACAGCCTGTTTTGTTTTATATATTGCAAAGTTTACAAGCTGGTAGTGTTAGGTTTGGAAACTGGAAGTTGGTTTTAAATACCTTTCAGTGTTTAACACAGTTTGCTCAACCCTTTTCCTGGTTATATTTACAGTATAAACAAAATTATTACGAATTACATAGCAATTGATTAGTTGTCGACGAAACTTTAAAAGGATCCTTCTATACCATGACATTTATCCTATAAAAATGAACTACATGTATGGTGTAAGATTAATAAACCATTGAAAAATAGATATTACTTATTACTACAAAGAAGTGCCGTATAGGCTTGAATAAAGCGTAAATTGTTAATGTTCATATGACAAATTTTTGTATGTTAAATATTTTATAATTTAAAAAAAAAGACAAATCAGAATTTTGAGAAAAGAAAGCTATAAACTGCCATAGATTGAAACAAAAGAAAGCTTTCATTAGAGATACATAACAATCTTTTATTCAGAAATCAGTAATATATCTTTCAGATTTATGTTCATACAGATATTTTGAATGTTTGCCAAAGTTAGTGTGCAAATGTTGCAAGATTTTGTAAAAGCGTTAAAAAATGTGTGCAAAAATTCGTAAAGTTTTTTTCTCTTTTTATTTCATAGAAAATAGCATTTAATCGTATTTTGCTCACAAAACAAGGATTTCTTTACATTTGTATATTCTATTATTTATGTCATTTCCATTCAAAATCAGTCCAAAAATATAGATCAATCTATGCATTTTTTTATGTTATGTATCCTAAGTTTGTAGACTTTTCATATTAGAAGGCAATGTCACACGCCCTCACACATACACACACATTTAAACGCTAGTTTTGTACATCTTTAAATCTAATCGAATTCAATTTACCATATAGACACTAGCAGTACGAAGTGAAAGTTTCCGTTATTTTATTGTCATTTTTAGCTTTTTTTGTTGGCCTTTTGCCTAAAACATAATAAAACTTCCCTGTTCGCAAGCAAATAAAAGCAGCCAACGATTTGGTATCGCATCCTTAAGTATGGATAGCAACACAACACTGTATGTTGATCCTTTTGCAACAATCAAAGAAAAAGCATTTCTTCTTTTCTGGAATGACAAATTCAAGAACCTTTATTTTCCAAACACTGTCGTTTTGGCGATATATCTATTAATTGGGATCCCAGGCAACATTATCGTCATCCTCGTTTATCAATTTCGTCTTCGCAAAGAAAGAGATGGAAGATACTTCATAACACCATTGGCCTACTTGGACCTTGTAGCATTGGTCATAACTGCATCGCTAAACTTGACCAGAAACACTCGTCAAGTTTTATTTCCAGGACACGGAGCCTGTAAAATATTACTCTATTTGAGCTATGTTAGTACCTGCAGTTCCCTCTTTCTTCTTAATGCCATCGCAGTTCAAAGATTTCAAAAGATCTGCAGACCGTTTGGAAATCAGATGGATTTATTCTGGAAAAGGGTCTCTGTCGGAATTTGCGTGCTGGCATCCGCACTGCTGTACATTCCAATTCTTTTCTACTATGGAGTCATTGAAATCCACAACCCAAAACTTGGAAATATTACAGGATACCAGTGTTACAAACTGCCTGGAACTCCCGATCAATTAAAAGGTCTAAAAGTCTTCCAAGGTGTCGGATTCTTCATTACAATCTGTAACGTTGTGGTGATCAGTGCTTTGTACATAATTATAACTGTCTCTATTGTTAAGCAGGTCAGGAAGATGAAAAGCATTCATGTCAAACCAGCAGAATCAAGTGGGATGTCGTCTGACGCTACAGCAATGTCTGATGTGTCTAAACCTCAAAAATTTACGTCTGTAGCCACAGAAAGCAGTGAAGTTCTGGAAACAAGTGTGAATTCCGTGTCTCAGTTAGAGCCAAGGAAACAAAAGAAAACGCCAAAATCTGATGCAAAGCGCAATGCCTTTAGAGTATCCTTCATGTTCATGACCATTTCCTTTGTTGGGTTTCTGGCGTACCTGCCATCTTGGAGTTTCATCGTCATAGAAACCAACAATCCTACTTTCTGGAAAAAATTGTCTACTACCGCCTTACATGTCTGCCTAACGCTTCGAAGGATGTACATGTTAAACCATTTTGCGAACCCTTTCATTTATGGTGTTTTTGATGTGGCGTTCAGACAGGAGATTAGAAAGTTGTTTTGTGTTAAATGAATTTCTTGTTAAAATTCTAAACACTAGCAATAATACCCGAATCTAGAAAACTATTTCAAGATTTTTGTGTAATGATTGTAAATAAATTCTTGATAAAAATACTTTTTCACGTTTTATATTGTTCACTGCATGTGTTTTTGTTAGGTAATTGCAAATATTTTCGGTCGCAAATTTCTGTTGATATTTTTGAAGATTTTTGTCTCATGGCGTATTGTGGTTGAGTCATAGTTTTGAATTTATAATGACTATTGATTTGATTCGAACACATGTGTTGTAATAAATATATATTATGGGATTGGATACAAGTTTAAAAACTTAATCCCCCCTTCCAAACAAATATAAACCAACTTCTGTTTTGCATTTTATTTTTTCTTATTTGATTTCAGCAATTCTAGGAAATAAAAATCGTTTAGAATATCTGAAATGGACATTTTTTGGAAGTTTTTTGCATTATTAGCACTTATTCTCCTACAGCAGGACTTGTGAATTTTTTTTATTAGCTTTCACAGGTGTACAAAGCAAAATTGTTATATATATAAATATATAAGCACATATACATATACACAATGAATTTCTTAATACTTTTGTTCTTACAACAGTACAAAATTTACTTGTAACCGTGAAAGTTATTTTTTTAATGAAGAAAAGAAAAAAAGAGGGGGGTCAGCAGTGGTAGAAAAATGCATATATAGATATTGACAATCAAATAACAACTAAATATTCAATTACAATTCATCATAAAAATAGACAAGATTGTTCAAAGTGCATCACAGATTTTTTTGCCAATGCCTTTCATATTCCATATGTCTACAGCTTTGTAACAGAAAAACTTTTTCTATAAAAATTCTGTCTATGATCCTCTTCATTAGAATATCAATATCTAATTTTGGAACACTTTTATATTTACTAGCAAAAATAAATTGTTTTACAATAAGTACAGGGTGTTTCATAATATATGTCACACATCTAAATGGGCATAATCTGAATATCAAGCACGATACCAAAAATACCAAAATACTATAGACAATCATATTAATCTAAAATTATGATATTTGAAAATATTGGGAAAATTATAATTCCATGAAGTACACTGATGCTAATATCTGCTGATTAAAATGATACATAAAATGTATATGGAGCTTTTGTTGTAATTTTTCTTTCTGCCTTTAGATGTGTGACATATATTGTGAAACACCCTGTATTATCGAGTTTTGCAATTTGCATATATTCTTGTTTTCATATTTACCAAAAAGTATAGCTAGTCTGTCAAAACTACAATGAATATCTAATTTTTCCAAAATCCATTCTTCAATGCTACACCATAATTCTTTTGCTTTGAAACATTCAACAAATAAGTGATCAATTGTTTCCATGTCACTTGAACAAAAAGTACATGCTGGTGAATTAATCAACTTCAATCTAAAAAGATAGTAATTTTGTTGGGATATTTATTATACATTTATCGTGATGTGGCATTAATGAACATCATACACAAATTTAAACACATTATGAATAGTAATAAGCATTGCTCTCGGAAAAAGTTATGTTCGTTTATAGAGAAAGTAAGAAAAATGTGCTCCCCGGTATAGAATTCTCATACTTCACATTTATAGTAATGTACTAAGTTTTGTATTTTATTCTTCACGCATAAGAAAAGCTTGGTAGAACATTTACTGGAACCTGCTATGTATCTTTGTTTGCAAGGATTTTATGGAGTTTTGGAATCCAGTGTAGGTATGGTAATTCAAATTCATTTTGATGGTTGGAAATATTTTTAAAAAATATTTAAAACTAACAATTCTCTCCTTAGAAAAGGAGCTATGGGTATAAGTTGGATTACCACTTGTAGAATTAAATCCTAGTTCCCCTAAAATACAATTCAAATGATGAGTCCTATAAATACAAAGTTGTTACATGTTTTGACAGCTGGAACCAGTACATACTGATCGTGTAAACTATCTAATTCTTGTTTCACTTCTGCGTTGTGGAAGACAGAAGGATAAATGGTTTTCATACTGCCCCTCAATCGTATAATGCGAGATTTTATCATATATCTGATACTTTTCATCCATTCTAACAAATTATCAAGGTCTTTCTCATAATTGGCCCATCATCTGGCGTAATCTTCCACAGAATTCATAATATTTAAGAAGTTATGACGCCAATTGAAAGATCGGAGTTCCCTAAATTTTGACCCTTTTAGAATAAGTGATTTAAGGTCCTCAATATTAACTATATTAACTTCACCGGTAATGGCGTGTCCAGCAGGACTATAGTTGTAGGGTGAGGAAGAACATGAAAACGTTGGAGGATTATGTTTCAAATGTTCGATATCTAGTCACTTGAGTTTGGAATAAATTGTCGATGTATATTTGAAAGAAATACATGTGGACTTCAACTTGAAATATAGTGGAATGCAAGACTGGTCCCTTTTGTCATTAAGAATATTATATGTATTAATTGCATCAATTCCTTTGTTGGTATATTGAATTTTAAGGAATAAAAAGCTTGTTTGAGTAGTATTTTTTTCCGTGAAACGTGGCGGTTTAAAGAGCCTATGATTTGCAATATCCATAATCACAGATCGGAGCTTGCATTCTGGTGTCGAAGAATCCAAATATGGACATTCCTTGACTTTTATAGATAGATTATTTAAAACATTCAAAGGGTCAAGGTAAAGTTTGGTGCGAATGTGATGAAGGCCTAAATTAATATTCAAAGCAAATTTGGGGTAAAAACTAACAAACAGTTTATCAAGTCAGGAAATCGAGGAAATATTTTTCACTACTTTTCCTAATTTTAGAAAGTTAAACTCAGACTCCTCGAAACAACACGAACCACAGATCAAACGAAACTAGACTTTGTCCTCTATGATGTAATTTTCTGATCGTAAACCTGTTCATCATCATCCATACTTGTAACGCTTTAAATGATCAACAGTCTCTTTTAAAGTCAATATTTCGCAAATTCTATGGTCGATGCAATGGCCTTGTTAGCAAATACAACCTATCGTTTTATCAAATTTTGACTGACGTTATTCATACAAACTGTTAGACCATTATTTTCAAAATTAATTGTCTACGAATTTTTCCGTTTGCTCGATCGTGACAAGGAGCACACGCGGTGGGTTTGACGGTCGACAGGGGATGCTCACTCTTCCATGTCACCTGGTCCCAACTGATGTTTTAAGATGTCCCAGTTTGCTATGCTCCAAATTTGTATTATTCCAACGGACTTTTGACCTTAATTGCTGTTCGTTTTCTTCATATTTCATGCTTAAATAAGACTGGGTCCAAAGAATACAACTATTAATATAATTATAGATCTGTTAAGTTGTTCTGTTGGTTTTGCCGGAACTTTTTGAAATGTTATGTTTTATCATTGCTTATTATATATTTGGTTGTTAATATGAGATAATATCGTTAGTTAACATGAAATGTGAACACTGTTAACATATGATGTTCATATTATTTGAGACTTCGGTGATATTCATTGATATTATCAAGGAAAAACACATTTCACTCTACAAAAATTCAATTTTGTTGTTTAATGCTCAATACATAACAGTCCATCATTCACGGACTCTTCGATAAGATTATTCAACTGAATATGGTACATTAATTTTAAGTTTACCATGCGATCGTTTCAATTTTTCGAATTCAGTATAATTTTAGCTAAGAAGGGAAAATGTACTTATTCTTCAAGTAATGTTTTACTTTGCACTAATTTTGACTACGAAACTCCCATTACCTGATCAATACAAGAGGTCGACAAGGGATGCTTACTTTATGGCGCCTGTACTCATCTATGACTGTACCAGGGTTCCGTGTTTTTGTCCTGTTCTCAATTCGTATTTTTTTTTACAGAATTTATGGATTGATCACGCTTTGTTATCTTCGCCTCTATCATTTTCCTCTGAATGGACCATATTGCTCTGAGAAAGCATGATTTCACAAGGAGACAACTAATGGTGAACTATATGTTATTCTTCGTCTCATTGCCGATTGTTTTGTTATATTAAAATCGTCTAAACAGTATCAATTCTTTTACTCGTCTACATGTATCTATGAGGAAATGTTATTCATATAAAAAAGTATTCATGTACTTTGAAATGAAATGTATGGAGATAACGAACAGTATTCAAGCTCAAAAGTCCATTAAACGATACAATTTTTGAGCAGAGCAAACAAGACCTCTAAAACAGCAGAGGTGGGATCAGGTTCCATGGAGGAGTGAGCATCAACTGCCGACCGGTCACACCCACCGTGTGCTCCTTGTCATAATCGGGTAATAACGGAAAAATCCGTCGACAATTCAGTGTGTAAATAATGGCCTAACAATTAGTATGAAAAACGTCAGTCAGTATTTGACTCAATGATAAATTGTACTTGCTGACAAGGTCATTGTATCGACCATAGAACTTACGAAATGATGACTTTAAACGAGACTGCTGATATTCTTGTTTCATCAACTTGTTTGTCAATAACTTACCTCGTTTTAGAAATTGTACAAACGTAGAGCATGCTCTTGCGTATCGAATTAACTGAGAGATATAAACCCCGTATGCAGGTGATGAAGGTATATTGCTGCATAAGAAAAAGATCCAAATATGAAACAGATGTGTCAGACTCTGTGGTACCTTTTATTTCAAGCTCACTGGGATATATCCTATCGACATACGAATGGAAATAACCATTGTTAATTGACAGTACGTCGTCAATATATCTAAATGTCGAGTTGAAGGTCACAGCAAGTGTTTTCTTCTTTTCACGTACAAGATTTTAAACAAATTCTGCTTCATATGAATACAAAAAATAGCTCTGCTAATAACGGGGCACAAATGGTACCCATGGGAATTCCAATAGATTGTTGGAAGACCTGGTCTCCAAAAACCACATAGATATTGTCAATCAGAAACTCAAGCATCTTTTTAATGTCAACTTCAGAGTACTTGTGTGTACAATCAGAATGTTTTTTAACAAAATAATTTTGCAAATGACCAATGACAAGGTAAGTAAATTTACGAGTTCCATTTGTATTGAAAAAGCAGCTGTCAGTGATATCAAAAATCCTGGATTTTAATTTATCATGGGGAATGGTTGTGTATAAAGTTGAAAAGTCATAAGTTTTTAGACTGTTGATTTTGGTAAATTCTTGTGATTAATTTGAAGTCTTTGGTATGTACGTTGCTTCATAAATCTGCTTACTATTACTTGAAAGCACGTGTCGCGTTTTCAAAGTTCATATGAGACGGAGGCTTAATAATAAAGCTTTTGTATGTTTGTTCCCCTGAAACTACAAAGGAGATGGGTGAACAAGGCGTGCAGAATGCCTATATCTTCAGATATGTAAAAAATTTAATTCAGTTTATGAAATTAGTATTTAGAGTAAAGTTTTCTATATTGAAATTCATGAAATTATGATAAACAAAACTTTTCTGAGGAAAATTTTCCCGGGAAAATTTATTCTGTTATTAAAAATAATTGTGGTATTCGTTGGGATCGAACCCCCTAGCAATAAAAATCCTGAGTATCCTTTTTCCTTTGAGAAGACCAACCACTACGCTACACAACTCCTGATGAATAGTGGCATTTAAATTATGTTTACGATATGACCCTTGACTAAATGGACCAAGTATTTCTCAGAAGATGCGAATGTTATGTCATAAAAGTGTATTTTTAAGGTAGAGTGGGTCTTTGCTCCATGTTTTTGTTTACCAAAAAATGTATAGTTTTAAGCAAACTTTGATGATAACCTTTCAAAAAAATGGAGCGAAGACCCACTCATATCAAAACATTTTGTTAAGTGTGAGAAAATGATCCTTTTTGTCATCTTTAGTGTGTGAATGCTATTTCATAGGCAAATAATTTCAAACTTCGTGGGATTTTTGCAAATTGTGGAAATTTTACATAAAGTGTACTTTAATGTTAGATGAAATCTCAAAGAAAAAATTGTTATTGTTGAGATTTAATTTTTCGCCTTCATGTTTGTTGCACTATAGGCACTTCGCTCGCCTTGTTCGCCCATCTTCTTTGATTTTTCATCAATGCCGCTAATCTGAGCGTTCAGAAATGTATATATAAGGTAACATTAGAAACTGTGAAATGTAAAAACAACTTGTAATTATAATGCCAATTCATACAACTACATTTTAAACTTGAAAATTCGATGACGTCATAGATATTATGTGAAAAAAAAACATATATACTCTACAATAATTTCAGTTCCTAAAGAATAAAGCCCCAAATTTTTTCTCTCTAATTTATAAGTTCTTTTACAGGGAATCCCTCTTGGGTAAAATTAAGGCTACTTTCAGGGGTATTTTTGGCCATGTTTGTCATGATGTCTTCTACAGCAGCAGCCTGTTCTAGAAAACGTTCAGAGGCCTTAAGATAGGTTTTTAATTTATTTCAGGCAGAGTGTGGGCTTAGAGCAGTCTTGATCTTTGGGGATGACAGAGACCAGCAATCTATGCATCTGTTACCAAAGCTAGTAGTTTTTTTTAAAATTACAACGAGAGGGATTAGTTCATTGGATTAATGACATGCAATGTCGAGATTAACATTACCTTGCTAAATATACATTTCATTATAAGCCTTATATTTTACTTACATTTTCATGAAATATAACCAGAACTTGCTCTTTTACCAGGTTATTTGAAATAGTTTTACATACTTTACAATTAAAATATCAGTTCAATTCACTTTTTCTTTGTTTGATCACTGAAGGTCACCTGGTGCCTCACAAATTCATTAATTTTTTTTTTTATCTTTACAAAAATTATCAGTGGCACAATGAAAACAGAGAAGCAGCAGGTTGTTTTCACAATCTTGTAGGACCCTGAATTTGTAATTTATACTACTGAATACATTTGTACAGTCCAGTTTAATGTACATTTAACTCATTCTGTGTCTTTTTAAAATAAAGAACCAGAACAAAATTAAAATATAATCTGTTCATGTTTTACTCTGTAGTTAACATTTCAATTAATTACAACATTTAATTATATTTAATTACCGTATTATCCTGATATTGCACTTTGTGACAATTATGGCATCATATATATAGCAGGTTTACTCAGTCTCAAATGAAACAGAACACTGTTACAGCTATCGGTTCAAAATAAGCATCAAAGAACAATTCACATTACTATGTTGGATTTGGAAGCATGCTTACAAAGCAAAAATTTTACACTTGTTTCCTCTACTTTAAGCGTTCGATTGTAAGTTGTAAATTGTATTCAGGTTGTTATACAGTAAAAGCAGATTTTAGCATGAAAATCAAAATTGCTAAACCTTATACTCTTTGTATAGCCTTGTAAGACACATGTACTTTGTAACAGATCTGTGTCTTAATTTATTCTTCAAACAAACTACAGAGAAAAGTGTTCCCCAATACTTTTTAAAATCTAAACTTTAAAAAAAAAATGTAAAAAAAAAAATGATAATGCATGATATTCAAAATTAGATCATCAATATAAATAACGAGAACAAATTTCTATATACATGTACATTAATAGTAAAATAATGTGAGATTCAACTGAGTTTTATTAAACTATAACCAGTGTAAAATAACAAAAAATAAATAATAAATATGAAAAGAAATAGTTTATACACAACCTGATTTTGGCATATGTATCAGGGAATTTAATAATTTGTAAATACTTTTAAAATAATTTATTGTTTATTGTAAAACAAATACATAATGTCCTTACACTGTAAAATTAACTATCTTTCATATTGGTATTGGATGCTGAGAAGTATCTTACAAATTTCACTTAATATAATGTTTATAAGTGAAAGTTTGAGCAATGATAAAAAAATATTACTCCAAAATTCAAGCAATACAATTTTTGTTCATATCATTCTTTACTTGGTTAATACATTAGGACCTAATCATACATTCAATAACCTCTATAAACATATATATATATATCAGTTCCTGTTCTGCTGTATACTGTATACAGGGAAATTTTCACCTGTTTCATTTTTGCCCCTTTCACCCTCAATGCAAATGGGCCAATTCAAAAACATATTTACACAACTTGTCTGGGTGAATTAAAAATTGGGCTAAATTGTTTGCAAGTGTGGTAGTGCAAAATTAACCTTGTGAATAGTACTCAGAAACAGAACCAATATGTACATGTGTATATTTAGATTTATCATAGAAAAAACCCAAAATTATTGAAAAAGCAAGGAAAATGTTCCCTTATGAATGGAATGCTTTCTCCACCTAAAGAGGTTTATTTTCTGGAATGTTTCAAATAAATTAAACTGAAATACATTTGGAATGAAAAAAGTATTGACAAAGAGCTCCTCCTGTATTCTTCAGTAAGAAATCAAGAGTAGAAAAATAAAATCACTCTAATTATAAACTCTCAGGATAAATGTGAATGATGGGGTGATAAGTAGGTAATGTTTGCTTTATTAATCTATCACAGTGAATAGTAAATATTCTAAACAAAATGAAAATGAATTAAAAATGATGAAAACTTATACTTAAGACAGGAAACAGAAAATATTCCCTGAGGAAAAAAAATATACAGGTTCAGTTGGAAATTTTCCTATGGCTGTGAAAATCATGCACAAATATTGGCCTGTTGTCAAATTGTCAATGTATGTATATATATAGAGGGAGAGAGAGAGAGAAAGAGAAAAAAGAGGGTGGGAGTCCCATGCACTAAGAATTTAGCTGGTATTACATTAAAAAGGTAAAGGAAATTTGTTCACTTCTGTTGAATTATGAAAGTAGATAACATGTAAAGAAAGCAGACAATATATTAATAAACAGCAAATATCTAATCTTCCAGGCAGTGAGACCAATCTTTGGGACATATGGATAGATAAACTTTGACAGAATCCTATGATGCACTTGGACATGGTATCTCAATATAGAAGCAATAACAATAAAACATGTAACACAGATTGAACACTACTCACACTACTCTATCACAGATTGACCGCCTTGTCATACACTTGTTACATACACATACAATGACATAATGGTTATGCTGAACATCTTACATACATCACATCCTAGTGTTGAACTGTTATTTCTGAACTGGTATCCTATTAAAGTATAATGCACAATATATGTATTAGCATACTTTTTATGTAAATTAGGCTTTAAAGTAAGATATGCAGTCATTCTAAAACTTTCAACTTAATGTTATATTATATTATGTTGTTAATAATAAATTATCTGTAGACTTGGCCAATGTGTCACAACAATTTTGTATGGTAATTGTGTACCATAAGGCATCTTGTAGAGACATAATAGGGAATACAAAAGACAAATCTTACTTTCATTTCTTTTCCCTTGGTTTCAATAGGAAGTAAAATGGCTGCTCCAGTAGCGATAAGGGAGATAACTCCATATGTTGATATTGCAAGGTAGGAAGATTCTTTTAATAAAACCTGAAACATGAGAACAAATTATTCTACAATCATAAAGATATCTACTACCTCATATGATCAAATCTTCATGATGTTTTTATGGTATCCTATACCTTTCCAATGTCATTTAATAGATTTTTCCTTTATGGTTAAATATGGTGTCGAAATATAAAAGCAGTAATAATACCTGGGCCACAAATGGGGTTACAATAGCCCCTATTCTGGCCATCATACTACAGGATCCTAACCCTATGGCTCTCATAGATGTTGGATACACCTAACAAGGAATAAATCACGTATCAGTCAGAGAGAATATATATTTCTCTACTTAGTACAGATTACGTCATTCACAATTTGAAACCAATTCTGTTATTATTGATATGTCTTGTGACATGAGTGTATACAGAATCTATAAAGATCATCCAGACACTATATACCTCTGGTGTGTAAACATATGCTGCCTGGAAAGCTCCAGATATGAAAGCCCGAGCAACAAAGAGGAAAAATGTCAACACAGGTCTGAAAAATCCAAAAATATTCATTTTTTAATCTATACAAAGATGTTGACTAATCACACACACACACACACACACACACACAAAACTTAAGTAGACTAACTCATCTTTGAAAGTTTATTATTAAAAACAAAGTATCTATGAAAATAGCCTATTCAAGTTTAAAAATAATGACACTAAAAGCCATTCAAGCCTTTACCTTGAGGTACAGATGTTTGCTAACAAGACAAATACACTGAAGACAAAGAACTCAAATCCCATAGTGAACTTCCTCCCAATCCGTTCAATGATGAAAACAGTCACAAACAGTCCTAATCAAATAAGAACAAGTACCTCAGACATTTCACTGGCACAAAATATATATAGAATATTATTGAACAGGTTTAAAAAAAGAAAATAAATACAGAATGTCTTGACATAAAAGGAGTCAACATTATCCTTATCTTGCTTCTTACACTTATTTTCTAGTTCATCACACATATCAATTAATTTAATTTCAAAATTTTTGCTCCACTCATACCTGGGAATTCTGCAAAAGTTGTCCAGGTAAGATCTACATAATCAGCTGTTGTTAGACCTTTACATTGAACGAAACAAGGCTGTTCTATCTTCTCAGAGGAACCTAGTAAAAGCGTATCAGAGACAGTGATCACCTTACATATCAAGTTCAAATGTTGGCATCAAATATCATGTAGATGAATGTGTGAAATAAATCCCAGACAAATATATAAGCATCTCTATTTCATTTTTTTTTAATATACAAAGAAATCAATTTTTTAACAGAATCCATCAACTAGAAAATAAGTAAGGACTTACCATGACATCCATCAGATATTTCAAACAATTCTGTGGTCATTAAAACTATTCCATAGTATGAAAACGCTGACACCAGCCTGTAAGATATTTACAATACATTAGATGTCAATCACTTTTACTTAGCTCAATTACAAATTCAGACTTGTTACAAATGATCTACATTTTAATCATCAATAATTTATTTAAACACACTTCCTACCATATAACCCATAGGAAACAGGTTGTCTTCCTAAATTCTGGCATAAAGAGGTCCTTCATGCTTCCTCTATTTGAAGCCTGTAATGTAACAACAAAAATTAAATTTCTTTCCATACATACTGCACAATCAAAAATTCATTTTTTTAATTAGTACTAAATAAAAACACGATAAATATACACTGTACAATTGTACATGGTGTTGTAAACCTCAATATCAGAGGAATTGCAAAAAAAAAAATTGAACTTCAGCTTATTGACTTTATAACTCAACTAAAACAGAAGGAAAACTTACTATTGTGCATAACTAACAAGGTCATGTTAATAAAAAAAAAAGTGCAAAAAAAATATTCAAGTATATTCAAAATTTGGAACATTATACATTTATTGACTGGGTTCGAGGGCAACATGCATTTTGTCGGACTGAAGAACCAAACTGTTTGCCTGAGGCCGATAGGCTGAAGGCAAACAGTTGGTTTGAGGGGTCGACAAAACACATTTTGCCTGTAAACACAGTCAATAAATGTTTTGTTATACCTTTTATTTATTTATTATTGTTTTGTTATATCTTTTGCTGGCTTCCATACCAACGATTGCAAATATGATTTAACTGATCCCACCCACAGTGTGACATAAGCCGTCCAATACTGTATGTGTACTTAAAAAAGTGGGCTTCCTACTTTAGCGGCTTTGGTGCAGACAACGATGCGCTAATTCATGAATACCACTAAGAAATTATTCATAAATACAGTATAAGGCACGGACATGTATAGCGCTTATTCATGATTTCGCCAACAACTCCATTCCCAGTGGTTGTGCTAAATTTTGAATACGCGAATTTATGTACATGTACGGTATCTCATCCATAGGTCCAATATCTCACTCTGCAGTCAAACATCAATTTTTTTATGACCACTCAGTAAAACATTAGAAATGTTAGACTTTTTTTTAGAATAGATTTATATAGGAACTAATTTTTAAAGGTATAACAAAAATATTTACACCCTTCATAACCTGTTAACCTGACCTTGCTAGAGGGCTCCACTAGTCTTCCTGGGGGCATCAATTTGCCATTCTCTTGTGCAATTCTTTTGAGTGTAGCTATAGCCTTCTCTGTGTGTCCTCTTGTCATGTCATATCGTGCACTTTCTGGCAGCCACTAGTGAATAAACAACATGGTAACTATCATGTGATGGCAAATTATACATGTGTCTTTTTCAGGTCTATCTTTAAAATAGTTCTCACGTACATAACAGCAGATGGAGAACAGAAGAAGAGGAAGCGCTGACAAGCCCAGGAGCCATTGCCAGCCCAGTGTTGGCATGACAACCAGAGCCAACAAAACTTCAAAACAAGCACCAATTGCCCAGAAGATCTGCAGAGGAAGAAAACTATTAAATGTTGGTGAGGTATTATAACAATATTTACACACACATACGGTGCATGTATTCAACATTATATTCCTGTGTATCTTATTTCTACAGCTGAAATCTTAATATATCAGTATCACATTTATTTTTTTTTTTAATCATAAATGCACAATGAGCTATTAAAAATGATAGAGATATGTACTCTATACCCAATGAAGAAAAAATGTTACTTGTTAATCTATACTGCATTACCTCTACTAGAACAACACAAGTGGCTCTTGATGCTGATGGCAAGAATTCAGAATACAGTGTTACCCTAGTAGAAAGGAAAAGCTTGTGATCAATCCGCACATTCTACATAGTTAGTTCTTCCTCTCAGTAAATGAGAGGATACTGTTCATATTTAATTAGATTATCTGTATATGTGTTGAAAGACAAGAAATGTTATAATTAATAAAAGAAGAATGTACTTTCATACTTAACAGTGTCAGTTGGATAAATGTATACGGTTGATGAATAACGAAAACTCTAGAATACTACTGTCTAATTCTATAAATTTATCTACTTGTACTGTGACTAGATTACTAGTACATGTATTTATTTCTAGTTCACTTATATTATTACAAAAATATTCTTGAACCTCAACTTCTGGTACAAGGAGAACAGACTTGATTATATTACATGTATATCAGCTGATATTTGTATAAAAATATAAACATTGTGTTCCATTTGTAATGTCCCTTGGTCCCTCCAGCTGCTGTTCAACTATGTTATACGAAATTACATCTATGACTACAAGTTTGTAATTATTTAAGTGTTTTGTACTACATTCCCCTCAGAGGCCATTATTTTGGCAAATGGCAATAAATCATTTGTGTTGTATAGTATTGTATACTGTAAAGTAATTCATGTTAAATACATATTTTTATAATTGATTAAATTTTAATAACCTGCCAAAAACAAAATTTAAAAGGAATACATTGTACAACTGATAAATATTTAAAACTGATTTCTTTTATACACAAAACTGTAATATTAAATAAACTCACGACTGCGGTGCTCCACCTATACCAAATCCTACCAACCCTCTCAAAATCAGAATCCACAAAAAGTTAGGGGCAAATGCACTGAGTATTCCAAAGTAACATGTCATCACTGAACACAGTATCAACTCCTGCAAAATTAAACAAAACAAGAAGAGTTAAGAATAGTTGTACATGTACTGGCAAACTGAAATCATAGAGTACGGGATGGTTCTTACAGCATTGGATGTATACTATCACATACCCATATGATTGTGCAGCATCTTTACACACGTAAGAATACTTTAATATAATCTACTCTAGATTTGTACTACAGTGTATGTACATGATTTAAGAGTATCTGGGATACTCTTAATATTAAAACACAGCATATTTCAAGCAAGCATTCACAGATTTCCAAAACAGAAAAGTTTGGATTTATATTATTTTTCACAAATATGTTAAGAATGACCCAAATATGTTTTTTCTTTAGTCACTGATGCATTACAATTTAAGTAAGATGCAGCTTCAAAGCATACAAAACACTTATATACCATTAGGTTCAGTTTGTACCTCACTTGTGATAATCTAAAGACAGACAGCAGGTAGACACTGTCCATAACCACAATCAATCAAGCATAAAGTGTAGATCAGAGCCAGCATCTTATTAATGCCTCTTGCAAGCTTCTAACAAAACATCTATTGACACCACTTTTGATAAGCTAGGAACAAGCCTATGTCTTTGACCATCTGTAGCCATTGAAGCATGAAATGTAAGTGAAAAGCAGCATCCAGAGTATTCATCAGATTACCTGAGACAAGACTCTTATCCACTTAGCACTACAGAAAATGGGTAGGAATGATAACCTTATGAACCCCATGGCTTGGAAAAGATTTAACTTTACTAATGAATGGTTAACTTGAAACAGACTTAAGGCTGGATTTAACCACGCCTCTACAGATGTACTGTACAGACAGATGATAAGCAGTTTTTATGTTTCCGTTTTCATGTTTCCAGTACATGTACGTGTATATGTGTACACCAACCAAAATTTTAGTTGCAGGGAGTATATCGTCTTTAAACAGAACATTCAATTTTAAAGTGAACATCTAAGTTTGACTTACTGTTTTACGCCCGTATTTATCACTCATACTGCCCCACAAGCTAGAGCTGCACATCATACCAGCAAAAACAACCTATAACAGTACATGTATTAGAATATTAGACTCTCACAAATCACTCACTAGTCTTTTTTTATTTTTTGGTATACTAAAAATTACTGGTTTAATAGTTTGCACACATTTTAATGTCTTTAACTTTTACAATTGGGATCAGGCAAAAGTTCTACAATCTTACTATGCCCTTTCCCTACATGTGAATTATATCAAACATATATTACACCTATGGGTCACAGCTTCAAATGAAGAAATAGAGACAAAGTAATCATTTCCACGTTTACACTATTAACTGTAGATCACTATACTTTCCTGACACCTTATTTTTGCGAGAAAGCTGTTTGTTATTTATAAGCGAGACAAAATTTTCGCAAGTTGTGGATTCTGTTGTAAATAATCCTTAAAATTACAAATATACATGTACATGAGAATAAAATATTCACATGTAGACAGACTAGCATTATTATGTGAAAATATAGTTCTCTTGAATAAATAGCGATTTACAGTACTTGTTTTATAAGTCTATCTTACAGTGGTAATACTGGCTTGTTGCCATCCCTCTAGCTGCCATTCACAGTGAAGAGCTGGAGACAAAATAGCCAAGATCATCATCTCCATAGCATCAGCCATCTATAGTTAGAAATCAACATTAATCCTTCATGTCTTTTTAAATGCTGCTGAAAGACATTTATTCTTAGTGACAACATTTTAATTGCAATTGCCAAAATATCAAATTTTTTGATATCCTTTTGATAATAAGCTTTATAGCCAAGGTTGACTTACCCAGGCAAATCCTGTGAGAATAGACAGCTTTACTTGAAATTTCCCAAAACCTATAGTGTCTATAGCTTGCTGCAAGGTGTAGGTTTCTGATAAATATATAGAATAAAGAGACACAGTGTACATCATTAACGTAAAAAATGATGCATCCTCAAGAAGATTAAAACTATTACATGTATCAAAGATATATACACACTTTACATTAATTGTACAGGTGTTAATATATGTACAGTATGCACATTCAGTATATCTCTTTTATTACTTTTTCAACAGTAAAATACTGTAATTTATATCTTGAATAAAAGTGAATTTCTGTCACTGTATGAAACCATATCAATGTAATATTCTGTCACAGTGTGACAGAATATCAGAAGTGCAGTAAAACTCTCTTTTCATTCCCTTTATGAAGAATGTTGTAAAAAATACTCTCTGGCCTGTTTTAAAATAGAGAGAGTAAATAAACCATTCTGACAAAGACTACAACTGCCAAAGTTTCTCCAAATATACTGTTGAAATCAATGTTTACTATGTTTTCAATCTCAATCGCTAAAGTATGACATCTCAAATACTCAACTTTGACATCACAGTCTATGACACTGTGTTACAAAAAGCAGAAGCAAAGGGAAAATCAAAGAAAATGTAGTAAACAGAAAAATCAATATTTTGTTGTTGGATATGGATTTTATTTCACTCATGAGACAGCTTTGCACTCCTGTCCTACTCATAAAATAAATTCTATATCCAACTACAAAACACTGACTATCTTCTGTATATATATGCATTTATCAAGAATATACAATTATGTACAATGTAGCACTCTCATTATTACATAAGATCATGTTTGTTCAATCATTTGGATCCACTGCCTTTTGTTTTTTTTGTTTCTAAATCTTTGTTGCCCTTCCAGGGGCCAAACTGGACTTATAAAACCTTGTTTTTGTATGTATATTATAAAATGTGCACTTTGAATTGTTTGGAATTTGAATTCATTCAAAACAATTTGCTCACTTGATCACTCAATGTTTAATGTAATTCACCATGAAATGAACGCAGTTTTGAACTAGATATCATTGAGATGTGGCCATCTCAAAGGGCCCCGCTTTCAGCAATGAACATGAAAATGTAAGGTAGCTGAAAAGGGTTTATTTTGAAGAGGAACATTTGTGTACTATTAAGGGATGTGTTGTTTGAGTCTAAAGGGCTTCTATGTTATCCTTGTTATAATAAAAAATGGCAAGAAAATTACGAGTGCTCAATACCTTCTATCAAAAAACAGCACAAAAATCATGAATGCTGCATATCCTCTATGAAAATTGTTGCTTATCTTCTATCAGAAATATGGAAAATCACAATTGTTCTGTACCCTAAGTCAATTGGTAAGGTTTGAGGCTGACTGGACTTGAGGGAAAGAAATTATGCACCAAACAAAGAATTTAAACAGAGAGGCTATTTTTGACCTTGACCCTTGACCTAAAAACTTTGTTCAAGGTCACTGCACATTCATTGACCAGTGGCACCCTGTGAGTGAAGTATGGTTCATATTGGACCAAGGGGAGAGAAGTTATGCTCCGGACAAGGATTTTTCAATTCTGCTATGACCTTGACCTTAGACCTAGAAACATGGTTCTAATTGGGCCAAGGAGAGAGAAAATATGCTCTGGACAAGAATTTAAGCAGAGAGGCTATTTTTGACCTTGATCCTTGATCTAAAAACTTTGTTCAAGGTCACTGCACATCCATTGACCAGTGGCACTCTGTGAGTGAAGTATGAGTCACATTGGACCAAGAGGAGAGAAGATATGCTCAGGACAAGGATTTTTCATATAATTCTGCTATGACCTTGACCTTAGACCTAGAAACATGGTTCAAGGTCACTGCACATCCTTTACCCAAAGACACTCTGTGGGTGAAGTATGAGCCAGATTGGGCCAAGGAGAGAGAAGATATGCTACGGACAAGAGATCTTGGACGGACAGACGGACGGAAGGACGGATGGATGGACAGACTGATCATTATAGGGCACCCGCAGAGCGGGGCCCTAATTATCAACTCCACATTATTTAGATTTTTTCTTATTCAAAAGATCTCCATGCCATTAATAAGATATATTTAATTGCATGTTGACAGTTTTTTTTAAATGCAAGGGCTGATGGCAGAAATTATCACAGGCACAAAATGCAGGACAAACAGATGACTATTCCATAAAATGATCTGCCTAACGTTTCTTAAGCCAATGACTGGGACCCATCTCCTTACCTTCATTCCCTGTGACTCCAGCAGATTCTTTTGGCCTCGTCTCTTCAGGGTTTTCACTCATCTCCATGGAATCCCCATTTTCTGAGTTTACAATGTTCTTCATTGCAGGATCTGTGATATCTAGGTCCACATTAGATTCATCCAAGTCCTCATAGTTATCCCCACCTCTTCTGAACTTTGCCAAGCGGTTAAACATCTTGAGAAAGCTTATATAGACTGCAGCTACTCCTGATATTAACTGTAAATAGTAATTTAATTAATCAAGTGTAATCTGGCACACCCTTAAAATGACATTTTCAATGTCTAATATTTCAAAAAAATATAATTATATATGCTGACTAGAAATACATTTTAAACATACTGCCTTTCCAGCAGACACCACTGATCAACAAAGCACACACACACATCCCCCCCCCCCCCAAAAAAAAATCTTCAAGGACATTAATGAAGCTTTTCCAATCCATTGCTTTGTCCATTATGCAATTTATCCCACGTTTCTAACTGTTATTCATGCCCTGACTAGCTGCAGAACTGTAGCTCTCTGTTGAGAATATTTGGAAAGACAAAACAGAGAGCTACAGATCCAAACATTGTAATTTATGGTGCCGCTTTTTTGTCACACACTTTGGGTTTTATTTCTTGTAATATATACAATCCTAGTTTAAAGATTAGCTTGCATATTGAGTGATGACTTTAGTCTGTCCCCTTGTTAGTGAAACAGAATTGGTTTTGTCATTTAGTTTTGCCAAAAACATTGGACATACGTAACTATGCTCTATCTAATTTCATAAACACTAGAAAAATCAGTAATTCTACGGTCATTTAAGTATGTCAGAACTGCCATGGTATGGGGACTGCAATGTGATAATACAAGCTGTATTATAGTGCTCAAGATACCTCTCTGGTGACAGAGTTGTTAAAACTTGGCTGTTTATTCCCCTATATTGTTACATGTATAAGAGCTGAACAAGGCAAACAGTTGTTGGGTATAGACAGTTAAGGTTACAATATCAGCCAAGTATGTAAGACCTAAATAAGGCAGCTAATTGTAATAAGTCAACAAAAACCTGAGTTAATAGGTTAATGAATCCTGAGTATAACGCCTCAGTGATCCAAGCCATATCACTATACACCAGCTAAGCCACGTTGCATGTTACACTAGAATATGCAGGACTAGTTGTAATCTGGGACCCGCGTATTGCAGAAAATATCAACAGGCTAGAGACAGTACAGAGGAGAAACGCCCAAATGGTGATGAATGACTATAGTACATGTACTACCAACAGTGTCTGTGATATGATCCGGCAACTCCACTGGCCCTTACTACAGGTGCGAAGAGCCCAGGCCAGGGCTATTATGATGTACAAAAATTGTGTATCAGTTGATTGACAATCCATATTTACTTCTGATACCAACCATCTCTCCAAGAAGGAACAACATCACCTTCCTTGGACTAATCTACAGTAAACTGGAAATTGTCCAGGATCTGGAACTTCTTACCATCAGAAGCTGCCAATGCAACATCTTTAGACAGTTTCAAGTGCCAGATCCAGTCCATCAGAATTCGCCTACAGAGAACCTGGATTTTAAACTTTTAAATGATCCTGTAAATATTTATTTTAATCACTAAAGATGTCCTTGTACCAGACGGTACGAAAATACACTTTAAGTGGCAAAGTACCATATGAAGAAGAAAGATGATGACCTTCAAAATAAGAACTTGTCCCTTGGTAGTGGTAGCAGAACAAGCATTTAGCAATGATAAATTTTAATTAAGAATTTAATAATTTAACAGATATTGCCAATTTATTTTGTAAAGAAAACCCATTTATTTAAAAACTGTCAGCATCAGGCACGCGAGGATGCATGTACAGATCTTAAAAGTTGTTTTGGAATTGGAAGATGAATTTCCAACTTGTTTACACAAAAAAGATCAATAAAGATCAAATCCTTTTATGGATAAAAGAAATTATCAAAATCACGTTTACTCGTATGTAACCCAGTTCATCAATTCATCAACATTTACATTTGAAAAAAGTCAAGTAAACTAAAACTAAAAGAACTTACATTTGTTTTCTGCTGCAGCAGCCAACTCTACTTCTCTAATTATCAACTGGAGGAAGCTGAAATGGTTGTCTCAGCTACCATCAGATACCATGACTTTAAAATCTAATTTAATAATCAATGCCTTTTCCTCTTATTCCGTGCATTCATTTCATCTAATTTGACAAATTGTCATCCCGAGATCGATATTCATTGTAGTAAACTAGTTATTTTTCTGCGTCAACACCGAGAACCAGTTTAATTTAGTAATGCGTTCATCTTTGATTCAATTAGGAACGACTGTAGCCCTTTTCACAAAAATTCTAAAGATTTTAACTTAAAAATCTTTTACGAAAAATTTTCAGTGCTTTTCACGAAGTATCAAATTTTAAAGACATAAAAGTGTTGATAGTTTATGCCCCCCCCCCCCCCCCACTGACTCCGTGAGTAACCATGCATGGAAACTATTTGTCACTTGTGTTCCGAAAGCGCTTCTTAGTCTAATATGAAATATTAAAATCAAAACGTTTTCTTTTTATTTATCCCTACTATACCCAAACTCCGTCACCATAAGTCGTAAGCAAATACATGCATCTTAAAACAAAGACAATTATAAAGGAGAAGGGTGAACAAGGCACGCAGAATGTCTTATAGCTTCAGATACACTGTATATAAAATTGTGAATTTAGTATTTAGAGTAAAGTTCTTATTATTATAATTTATAAAATTATGATAAAGTAAACTTTTATGAGGAAAATTTTCTCGGCATAAATTATTCTGTAGTTAAAAAAAATAATGTGGTATTTGTGGTGTTCGAACCCTTAGCAATAAAAATTCTGTGTGTCATTTTCCTTTGAGACTAACAAGCTAACCACTACGCTACAAAGCTCTTGATGAATTGTGGCATTTAAATCAGGTTTGTGATATGACCTTGACTAAATGGACCAAGTATTTCTCGGAAAGATGCGAATGTTGTGTCATAAAAGTGTATTTTTAAGGTATACATGTAGTGGGTCTTTCCTCCATATTTTTGTTGACCAAGAAAGGTATATTTTTTAGCAAACTCTGAGGATATACTTTGAAAAAAAATGGAGCAAAGACCCATTCATATCGAAAAATTGGGTTTTAGTATGAGAAAATGATCCTTTTTGCTTTCTCTTGTGTATCTATTTCAGAGGCAAATAATTTCAATTTTAGTGATATTTTTGCAAATTGTGGAGATTTTGCACAAAATATACTTTAATTTTAGATGAAATATCAAACTTAAGAAAATTTTGTTATAACTGAGATCTAATATTTCACCTTCATGTTTGTTGCACTATAAGGCATTGCGCTTTCCTTGTTCACCCATCTTCTTTATAATAGATCTTAAAATGGGAGGAATGTAGTCATGTAAACTTAATTCTGGGAATCTGAAGTCTGATCCATTTGTTTTCTATTTATATTGAAAACCTTCTAGACTCTCATCTCTTTTGTTATTTAAAATCCTTTGTTCTAAATCTTATATAAAAATATGTTTTCTTTCATTTGGGGCCTTTCTTTGTTGGTCTGAAAGAAAGGAGACTCTAGAAGGTGTTCAATATAAATAGAAAACAAATGGATCAGATTTCAGATTCCCAGAATTAAGTTTACATACTACAGTCACTATCAAATTCATACACAGTATAAATTATCAACTTGTAAAGGAACCAGATACAAGTGAACTTGAGTACAGTGTATTTGGAAAACTAGTACACATGTACACAAAATTCAAGGGATAAAAAGAGAGTCTAGATAATAAGTCCTCAAATTACCAACAATTTGTGTTTTAACACTGAATCCTTGGACATATTTTTTTAGTCCAGTAACATTTGAGTAACTTAAAGTTTGCCCAAGCAAAGAATGATTTTGCTTTTTAACAACAAATACACAGTTCATTAAAATTAATAAATTATACCTGTAATATCATTAGATAAACATGAGTTCCTTATAGATGTAAGGCACAAAATGAATTGCAACACAAAAGTTTACCTAAGCAATGAATGATTTTGCTTTTACCAACATATAAACAAAGTACATGAAAATTCAATAAACTAAAATTTCATTCTAAAGATAAACATGAGTTCCATATACATGTAGGTGCATGTCACACAAAATGACTTGCAATACAAACAATTAAATGAGTAACTCGTCCAAAAGCAAAAGAAGTCTGTGTTCCTTGAAAAACTCAGTGAAGGATCAAAATTAAGCCCCCCCTTTTTTTTTTTACATCTTTTCCATTGTGCTTCACTATAACAGTCTCTTAACACCTAGACATTTCCCCTCTAACATTTTCTTCAACGTTGCTGTACAAATTCATGGTCAGAGTAAGATTTAGAAAATTTCAGTCTCTCTGTTTTCTCCTTGGCTGTCGTACAAAGTCAGGGTTGTACTGTGAGTTATATTTCTGCTGTCTCTCTGGAACCTCCGTCTCTACTTTTTCCCCACGGTGTTTCGCCAGTAACTGAGCTGTTCTCTGTCTCTCCTCCATTTCTCTCTTTAACCTTTCTGCCCTCAGCTGTTCCATGGATACTGAGGATTTCTTTTTAGGGGTTGATGTGTTGGATTTGTGTTTACTCTCTGATTTGTCCTTGTCGTGTTTGTGTTTTTTCTTCTTGTGCTTTTTATGCTGCAGAACAGATACAGTAAAACACAGTTACAGCACACATGCTAATAATGAATTGAAGATTTTTTAAAAGATTTTTCCTACATGTAAATATATGTCCTAGTAAAGGAAAACTTCAGCTCCTTTTGTGGCCCAACCTGCATGTTTAAATCTTAGTTAAAGGTGCTTAGACGCAGATTTGAAGTTAATATTTTCTGTATAATATCACGACTTACATATTGCAATAGCATTTCACACGCAAAATATAATTAAAAACTTATTTTATCTGGAAATTATTGGAACTACGAATTCCTGGACGCGTTTGATTAACACATCCTTGCACTTTCACAAATTTTATCTTTATCCTTAATATTTAAAAAAGAAGCGATTTTGTTGTGTATTAATGAAAAACATTACATCTATAATCCAGAAAATTCAGCGTAGAAACGTGTGAAAGCAAACCCCCTCACTAATATCGTCAGTCCGTACTCAGTGTTGTATACAGAGTTTAACAAATTGAATACACCCGTGAAACGTAAACTGTTTTTGTAAACAGGGCATGAGCTCTGTTATTGTTAATGTTTACGATTCACCGAGTGTGTTCAATTGTTAAAGTCTGCACACACCACTGAGCACGGACTGACAATACTGTGAGTGGGTTTTGCTTTCGAACATTTCTACTCTGAATTTTCTGGATTATAGTTTTGATATATTTCATTAATACACAAAAAATTGCCACTTTTCTTAAGTATTAAGAATGAAATTAAAATTTGTTAAAGTGCAAGGACGTGTCAATCAAACGCGTCCAGAAATTTGAAGTTTCAATAACTTCAAGATGAAATAAGATTTTTATTATATTTTAGTATGAAATGCTATAGCAACATATAAGTCATGAAATTATACAGAAAATTTGAGAAAATATTATCTTCAAATCTGGGTCCAAGCACCTTTAATTCTAAATGGTTTACATCTCCATTTTTTTTTCTAAGTAGAACAGCTACCTACAGCATTTATAGGAATTATCATTTGCTCCAATCAACTGATAACTCCACAGATTCCCAAAAATAACACAGTTAATATTCCTTAATTAATTACATAAAAATAACCTAATGCTTAAATGTAGCAAAATATATTTGTATAACCTTTTCCTTCCCATCCCTGCCTTTCTTCTTATCGAGGTAGCTGTTCATCTGATGGATAGGATCCAGGTGATCCTGAAGCTTCCTGTTTTTCTCTCTCCTGAAATGTATCAAACTACTTTCACTTTTACATTTAAATAATCCTTACTTTTACTTTTACATTTAAATAATCCTTACTTTGTTTTTCCTTCCACAAAAGCAGACTTTGGTTTTGTCACTTTTTTATATATGTCAACATAAGTTCATATTTGATCTGATCAGTTTACAGAAAAAAAATAAATGTTATAATTAACAAACAAACAAAAAAATAATTCAGACAAAATGTGTTGACCTTTTCTGTTTCTCATAATCATCATCTTCTTCTTCCTCATGACATTTTCTCTTTCTTTGATTATACCAAGAAGCTGAATAAAAAACAAATCACTAAGTTAAATCAGTGTTTGAAATTTTAAGTAGAATAGTAAATAGTAAAAAACTTTTATTCAACTATTTATATGTATACATGTATGTCCCAACCCTGGGCTATATTTGTTTTGAAGAATCAATAAATATGAGGATACTGTCAAATGACAGGTAAACATGACAAAATTTTAGGTTAAGAGCTCCTAGCTGATGTATGTGAGTTAAAATTTATGTAAATAGAACCTTTTGTATTAGTATTCAAGAAATAAATAAACAAAAAATCAGCAACTTTCAGGTCAAAATCATGAGTGAGGTGAGATTTCACAGAATCTTAAACAGAAGAAATACTCTACCTACAAGAATTATTTAAGCTATTTTTTCTTGGTAAATAAAAAAAAAACTTTAAAAGGATGAATGCACAGTCTAGGTGAGAGGGACCACCTTGGTCTTTTTATTTTTTTTGAAAATGACGAGGGGGGGGGGGGGCATTACATATTCCACTAAAAATACATGCTGTATTTCTTTAAACATTAAACTGATGAACGGAAAGAAAGAAAATGTAAATTCAAGGTCACAATGAACTTGATGAACACCGAGTTCTGGTGAGACTCAAATTCCCTCCCAATCATGTTTTTGGAAAAGAAGTTGAAGATATTCAAAAGAACTGGGCTGAATGCAACATTATAGAGTAGATCAAGATCACTGATTCTGGCAGTTGGATTAAATTCACAAGGTTATAACTGTAAAGTATTAAGGAATTCCTCAACCGAGTACACATATTATGGTAGCTATGAGGTCAATGTCAAAATAAAGGTCAAGGTCAAAATTTAGCCATAGCTATATTCCTTCATTCACTACATGAAGCTTATTGAAAATAAGAGGAGAAACTTGAAATGAAGCTGAACGCATAAAAAAGACAGTAAAGTATATACCAGAGTAACAAATACCTGAAGTTTCATTTGAACTTTGACCTAGATATGTCAGAATGCCAACTTTCTTCTCCCAATCCTCCTGCTCTGCTTTCTTTTCTGCTTCATGTTCTGCATTTTTTCTGTCGGACACAACCATCTACAAAAGGTAAAATAATATCTATCAATATCCTAACCAAGGGCACTGTTTTTCTACCATCATCCAAACCCATTGTTGATTACACTGTCTCATTCCTTTCTTCATTGCCTGGTCATGGAGAAAAGTATGGAGGAAAATCAACCATGGGTTAAAGATGATGGTCTTCTGTAAGAATAAGCAAATTGCAGAGTATTTGATCTGAAGTAGCATGGACCTGTCTATAATTAATAACATCCAATGACTTTTATCTGCAATAAGTAATACATTAAAAATGATTTGATCTTAACAAAATTTTTACCCCATCTGTTTCTTTGAAAAAGTTAATGTGTCTTCCAGAGTAGATGTCATCTGAAAGGGCACCTGTTCCAAATGTTGATACAGCAGACTCACTGCTAACCACTGACTTCCCATCATTCACCTGTTCCCCTTTACCAGATTCCTCTAAATGTTTTCTGGATTTTTGTCTTAGAAACTCTGTTCTAGCTTCCTGTTCCTGCAGAAATAAATCTGTTCAGCTTATACAATAGCTATCTCCCAGAATAATTGCATATACATGTAACAACACTAGTCACTAAAACATATAACTGATATGTTAAACTTCTAAAAATTAAGATAAATACCGGTAATTACTAATACTATTTACATCAATATCTTATGATAATGGATCTGATGTAAAACTGTTTTTTAATACTTGTGCAATAATAATTTTTTATAAGTTGCTAAGATTTATTTCATGGTCCTTACAGCGAGTGCTATTTTGCGTTGTCTTTCCTTCTCTTCAAGAGCAGCTTTCTCTTCATCTCGTCTGACTCGTGCAATGTTATCCTTATTGCGAACATGCCAGCTGTAAACATGGAAAAAAATATTCAAATATGTGTAGCATACTGCGTGACAAATGATAATATTGTGCTTGAAATCATCAAGACAACACACAAAGTAATATGTCACCATTAGACAATAAACTACCGGTACTTATTGCTATTAAATACATTAAATATAAAATATATAAATACATGCACTTCAAAAGGAAAACCTGACTATAGATGAATTTTGGAAATATAGTCAAACCTCATTATCTCAAACTCAATAAGACCGAAAAAAACTTTGATATATCTGAGGATTCGAGATACCGAGGGTAAAATACTTAGAGAATAAGTGGTTGGGACTTCCAAATCACTTTGACATATCCATGGTATTCCAGATATCAGTGATTGAGATACCAAAGTTCAATTGTAGTATCAAAGGAAAAATTCTCATCAATCTTATCCCTGTGAATGTGTTTGGAACCTTTTATTTTTTACAGCATTTAGCTGATTATAATGTCTGAAGAGTCCTCAGTAACTTGGGTGAGACTACAACGAGCCTAACTGTCAATGGATCAAATAAAATTATACATGAATTCTGTTTACGGCCAAATTTCCTTGTCCAATTTTTTAATGAATCATGAAATAACAAGTCTTGAATTTAAAATTAAAATAACATTTGCCTGGGTGAATTAAGGCATCCATAACTATGTGTACATGAAATCACAAACCAAATCTTGATTATTACCAAAGGAGTTGGCAGTTTTATCAATAAAGCAAGGTAAACAAAAATAAGTGAGCTTCATGAGTGTACAAATATGATGCACATTGAAGTGGGAAATTTTTTTTTGTTGGAGATTATGGTCTTTCTTGTAATACATTGATTTTTTTCATAATGTCCACCCATTTCTTTATTTCTTCAGAAACAAGAAAGCAATATTCATCACAATGTTTTAAGAAAACCCAAACTCTGTGATTAGCAATCTAAGCTAAGTTTTGCTGAAATAGGGATTTCATTAAGTTGAAAAAGAGCGAGAAATAGTCCCTCCTTCTGTAAAACTCAGGTATTGCAACAAATATCTATTAATCATGTTTAATGAAATTATCAATCACAACACATATATAAATCAATCACGTTTACCCAATGCTTATGGAGACTGCCTATCTGAGTGGCTAATGTATTTATGAAATACGTTATTTGAATGACACATGCAGTGTTTCCATTTTATTTCAGATGCAAAGGGCTAGAGGTCAATAATAACAGGCTGGGGTTAAGATTTATTAATAATATCTCAGTGAATGTTGCAACAATTATATTTATATTTTTTATTTCTAACTGAAGCTGTCAATTAGGCCATGGAGGGTCCTTATGGAAAACACTGTGAGAAAATTTATGATATTCCAAGGCTCTCTCTCTCTCTCTCTCTCTCTCTCTCTCTCTCAAGACTGGCATTTCCCTGCCCTCCTGTTCAATAAATATGTCATCTTCTGTTGTTTCTTTTATAGGTTGATTTGTCTATAGTTATAAAAGACTGTCAAAGAAGATGAAGATGCACTAGCAAGAGCAATTCTGCACCAATATACATGTTGCTATTTATTTCATAAATTATTTAATTAATGATCGTTTGAGTTGAAACAAATAAGAGCATGAACCACTTTCTCCTTTCTGAAGAAATGGGCTTGTCATTAGGTAACAATGAAAGCTCAAAACATTCCATTTAGACCAAAAATTTTTCCACTTCAGTGTGCATCATTGCATGTAGTTCACTACACTTGCAAAGCTCACTGGTTGTTTTTTATCTTGCTTTATTGATAGAATTGCCTGCTCCTCTATAGAGAGAACATTCTATCGTTAAAATGATATTGTCCTATGGACTCGGTTTAAGAGGGCTTGTCCCGAGACACAGTTAGATTATTCTAACTAATTAGCTCCTCTTATAACCAGGTCCAGCACAGTCTCTTGATTTAGCTATGTAGCTTGAATTAGCTATATAGATTTATAGCTATTCGAAAAAGCTTGATAAAACTATTTTAAAACTGTTTTTCACAGATATTTTTCTTACAAAAATGGATATTTATAAACCAAGACTTAATTAACAAGGGCTCGTCAATACTGATTTGCCCTCTTTAAATTTGACCTCCCATATACTATAAAACATGTGTATTTTATAGTGTAGGGGTGGTCAAAAACAAATAAATCGTGACGAGCCCCTGTTCCAAGACCTACAGAGCTAAGCAGCTTCTAAGTACCACTACCAGTGGCAGTGCCAGTGACTGAAGCAAGTATATCTAAATCTCGTAGTCTAAGATTATTCAGATGTAGATCAGTAGATCAGTTATGCCATGTTCCTTAAACTAAAAACAGAATACATTACCTCTTGTGATGAAGAATATTCATTTTGCCTTTCCTACACCGTTAGGCGAGAGCCTACTTCAGTACTTTAAAGTCAACAGTGAACTTGACTTCTGACGTTCTGTACGGTCAACGGTGCACTGTCAGTAATGTGAAGGAATTCCGATCCCGATTAAAATCTAGATGATAAACGGGATCGAGGAATGGGTTGGTATATTCTCATTTAATGATTTTATGGAGGAACAGCTTAATTTTTTATAATGATAATGATCTGCTTTGATGACATAATTTATTTTTCGTGAAACCAGATCATGATTTGACACCAGAAGAACATGTATATACTTTGCTTAGTGATAAAATGTTGACTCCTATGTTTAGATCTACTTTCATTTTTATCTTTTTTTTTAATCGTTCGAAGCAAAAACTGGTATATAATATAATTTTTAAAAGACTAATCGTGATTTATTAGATAAAAATAGGAAGTGGAAGTTGCTTTGTGATATAATAGTAATTGTAAAATCTCTGATGATATTAGACTCGGAGATAAAAATAAATGTTATTTTTGTCTCAGATGATATCAGAGATATAAATAGATGTTATATATGAAGTGCATATAATAATTCTTGCACACCAAATTCACAAAAATTAGCCCAAAATATTTAAAAAAAAAAAAAAAAAGAATCTATATTTTATGAAACAAACAAACGTGTTTGCTCTGCTCCAAATTTGTATCGTTTCATTGGACTTTAAAGGTTCAGTGCTGTTCGTTATCTCCATATTTCACACAATAGTTGATCATCAGTTTCTTAATAATAAAAGAGAAGTTTTTGTTACTGTAAGTAATATTCGTTACCTTTAATATTAGATTTGTTAGGTGCACAGATTTTTGATGAACTGGAATTGTCAAAAAAGCCCTTGTCTGTTGATTACCTGTGCAGAAAGTGTAAAAAGCCAGAAAAACAGATTGAGGAATCTTTAGAGAATCTTAAGGCTATTGGCCTGGTTAGCTCTGATCATCAGGGATACTGGGTTTTATATAGTGATAATATATACACAGCAGATGATCTTTCTCTGGATGCAGAGCAGTTTGACTCACTGCCAAGACATACTGACCCACCAAGACAAAATGAAACATTACCAAAAGTGCCAACAGAGGCTGAGACAGAACTAAAAGTTCTAAATCAGGCCAGTAACTCACCCATTGATTCAAGCTCATGTCACACTATTCCAAAAGTGCCAAGTAATTCTGCATCAAATGCAGAATGTAGCCCTTCCCATAGTCCCTTGAGAGGTGTGTATAATGTTTCTCAAACATCTGATACTACAAAACCCAAAGTGCCAAGCAGAGAGAGATCTGAGGCCAATTGCTCGTCAACACCAGTTATAGAAGAGGTCACATTATCTGGATCAGAGGAAGAAGGTATGGAAGAGTTTTAATCGAGGACAGATTCTTATGTATTTCATAAAATGTTAACACATTATACATGTTATGTGGAAAAGATAAGAATTTTTCACATGCTTAAGTGTAGGACAGATAAATTCTGTCAATCATGATTACATTTACTGTCTAGAACCAACCTTTCTAGGTTTTAGATGAAAAAAAATGAATTCACCAATGCAGAATTAATTAAAGGTACTTCAGCTCTCAAATAATGAAAGATTGTTTCTCCATCTTACAAGTCAATTATACATATGTCGCAAGAAATTTAAGCAGAATAAAAATGGTGACTTTTTATGGTGTATTTTCTAATTTAATTAGATTTTAAAGCAATATGAGCTGCATTTTTGAGAATTTTATTTTGCTGTTAAAATGTGTTATTATGATGAATTTGTATGTAATTTACACCTTTATGATCAATAAGACTAATATAAAGTATTAAATTGTTTCAGAAGAAAGACTTCTGTACAATGGATTGTATTAGTATTATATAAGAAATCAATATTGTACAGGACAACAATAATGTAATTTTGCTCCAATCAAAGCTTATAAATTATAGTTCTTCCATCGCAAATAGAAAAAATAGAAGTTTATAATTGTTCTTTTTTCCTGTCACTAAAATATTTAATTGCAATTTCACAACAAAAATTTCTGACATCAAAGTTGCAGCTCATATTGCTTTAATAGCCACATGATGTATATTTATTTTACAGATTTGTCAAGAAAGCTAGAGGCAACCTCTTTAAAAGAACCTGTTAACCAATCAACTGCAGGTATACAGGAGTAATCATGGTGGCACTCTGCTTTGATTACTTCAGTACAGAGTTGAGAGGACATAATCGTGATCCTTATATATTTCACATGTGAATTATGGTATTATACAAGCAAAGAATCTAAAATATAAAAACTCAAATTTTCAGATGGTGTAGTTGTTCCTTGTAAAAGTAGGCAACCTGCCAGACAGAATTCTGACCAGACAACTAGCATGGGTGAGCAAATATCATTTGACTTACTTTAAGTGAAGGCGCTTGATAATTTAATAGAATACATTTTCCATTTTCTTTGATAATTCATGTATATTCAGTTCAATTTGTTAAGCACGTGCAACAACATATATGACAGTTTTGAAAGAGAATATGCAAAATCTGAATTGAATATATTCTCAAAGAACATGAGAACAAACAAAAATGTTTGATATATTAAGTCTTTTGCAGCATAATCATATTTTGCTTTCCTTTGATTTCTAAAGTTGTTGGAGGATGTCAGATTGAGACTTCTGGTTCAGTGAAATCATGGCAACTGTCAAGAGTAGACCCCGCTATTAAACAACCTAAAGGTATGTTTAACTTGATGCAGAGTTTCATATACTAGAATTTAGTCATGTGTCAGCAAATATTCAACTTATCCAGAACTTTGACAGTTTTATTAGACTGTTTTACCCATAAAATTATGTTAGGTGATGCTTTATCCAAAATTTGGGAATGGTCTCGTTGAAAAGATTTTCCAACAACCCTTTTATGAGGGTTTCTTTGAACAATATTTGGAGGCTCTCTTATTAAATTTTATAGTCAAACCTTGATATTATCTCAAACTTGTTGAAAAAAAACTTCAGGATACTTTAACATTTGAAGATATTTAATCTTACAATGCTTTCTTGGTTAGTTTGGAAATTAACATTGCAGCTGTTGAAGGATAAAAAAAAACATAACCAGCTGCAACTGTTAATTTCCATAATAATAAATAAAGAAAGACTTTTTAGGTGACTTGAGTCAATCAGGTGACCTATTGCTATTTGTTTTCATCCGTTGTCGTGCAATGTGTGTTGTGTATTAACATTTGAACATTTTCAGCTTCTTCTCTGAAACCGCTGAACCAATTTCAGGCAATTTTAGCATAAATTGCATATAATTTCACAAAATTTGTGAATGTTATGTTTCCTCTCCCCCTGGGGCCTGAGGGGTGGGGCTAAAACCATCAAAATTAATGCTCTCGACTAACTGTGCACATAGTTATGATGAACAAGGATGCCCCTTCCAAAATTGTGAAAATCATGGCCCCTTGGTCAGGGATTCTGGTTAGGGTGGGGCTCTATTGATTATATAGTGAAAATGCATTAATTTTTTGAAAATCTTTGTCTCTGCTCTTGATTATAATTTAAATAAACTAAGTTCATGGTTATTATAAGCAAGGATGCCTCTTCCAAAATTGGAAAATTCATAGCCCCAGGGTCTGGGGTTCTGGTGAAGGGATCTATTGATTATATAGTGAAAAAGCATAATTTCTTTGAAAATATTCTTTTCTGCTCCTGGTTATAAAGCAAAGAAACTAAGTGTATAGTTAGGATGAGCAAGAGTGCTTCTTCTAGAATTGTGAGTTTCATGGCCCCTGGTGTTCAAATACTGATGTAAGGATGTGGCTTTATTGATAATATAGGGAAAATGCATTAGTTTCTTGGTGTTGAGCAGATGCACAAAGTACATTGCTATGATGAGCAAGGGTGCTTCTTACAAATATTTTTAAAACTTTTGGTTCCAGGGTCAGAGATTCTGGTGGGTTTTTTTTGAGGGGGGGGGGGGGGGGATCTATTGATAATGTAGTGAAAATGTGTTAATTCTTTGAAAATCTTCAACTAAGTGTCGTCCAATGGCAGTCCAGGAAATCCTAGTAATTTTCTGTACCTGCATGTGAATGAAGGACCCTCTATACACTGATGAAAAATGTTTTTTGGACTTTGAGAAAATTATAAAACATAAAGGAGGATATTTTGAAATTAACTAACTCATTTTTAATATAGGGAGTGTGCCTTTTTTATTCAGGAAAAATCTTCAAAGACAATGAAGTAATAGAAAAGAAAAATTGCCTTCGCTTACTCAAATGGATAAAATACATGCAAATAAAGTTTTCAAATACTCTATCTTGGTCTAATATAATGTTTAGAATACTTGGATTTATTTTAAATTATGTGATACAGTTCAGATTACAATTTATTCTACTTTTATGTCAAATGGTGGGTCAGTCTAATTACACAAAAGGACCCTGATAATAGGGTGCAGTGTAGAGAGGGTCCTTAAACAAAAATGATTCCCTGGAATTAAGACCTCATGGGAAAAAAGTATGTTCACAGTACATGTATTTGGGTTTCATTTATTCTACATATTTGTTTGTTAACAATATGTTAGAAGAATGACTCATGTTACAGCTCTCAAGTTCTTGCTTAGTTGTGTTCTCTGGTATAACAGCCTTTGATAGATCCTGATTAGTTGTGTATATATATTTTAGATATAATTGTTTCAATTATTCAACACTTTCAATCAACACATTCAAATGGAGAGAAAACACTTGATGTTGCCAAGAAATGCATTGGTAAAAATGCCTCAAAAAAAGATATAAATAGATATCTTCACAGCCTTAATAAAGTTGGAGTTCTTCAAGTCGAATATCAGAATAAGCAGAAAAACTCAGATCCTCGCTGGAGGGCCACACAGAAAATTCATGACATATCAGGTACCCGGTATATTCTTCCTGAATTTTTTTTGGGTTCATTTTTTAAGCTAGAGAGTATAGAGGTTTCTACTCATTTCTTTCTTTTGTTCATAATGTGTTAACCTGCCATGGTTTTAATAGAGCATTTGAACATTTTGAAACTTTTAGATGAATTATATCTTTGTTTAGAAGGACAAGACATGATAGAGACCCCTCTGAATTTTTATGTGCATATTTTCAGTTTTTCTTAGAATGTGGACCTTTTTGAATACTTATGTACTGAAAAATAAAATTTAACATATTCAGAAATAAACTAATGTTAAGAACTTTTTAGATGAGAAAATCGAAGAAATATCAGCAGAATTGAGCACTTCAAAGAATTCAAGATCAGGTAACTTCTTTTTTTTTTTTTTGTTTATAAAATTTCAAATTTATTATGTTGTGTACAGTACTGTATACAGGGAAATTTTCACCCCCATTATGTTTTCGCCCCTTTCGTCCTACACACACGTGGGCAAATTTAAAACGGGGCGTATTCAAAAAACACACTATACCGGTAATTTGTTAAACAGAATTGTGACTGGCTGAATTTAAAACAAGGCAAACCTGTTTGCAAGTATGAAAGGGTGAAAATAATATGGGGCAAAAATAACCCTTTATACAGTATTTATACAATTTATTTCTTTCATTTTACTTTTCTTGATACATAAACAAGTATTTATTTTTGACCAGTTAGACCGTTGATCATGCATCATCTGGAGTGAAAAAAAGATGCTATTTATAATTTTGTTGAAGTAAAGTCTTCCAGGTTAAAACTTCTTGTTCCTTAATCTTATATAATTATACCCCACGCAACTAGTTGCGGGGGTTATAATGTTTTTGACCCGTCAGTCAGTCAGTCAGTCAGTCCGTCAGTCCTGTTTTTTTGTCAGCGCAACTCCTCCTAAACCGCTGCACAGAATTTCGTCAACTTTGCAGATATTTAGGACACAATGTGTAGATGTGCATATTACCAGGAAATTCCGATTCCTTTATTTTTCTGGGAATTTCGGCACTTTTCAACTTAGATTTTTGGCCATATCTTGAATACAACTCCTTTTAAACTGCCACACAGAATTTCGTCAAACTTTGCAGATATTTAGGACAGTCACACAGTGTGTAGATGTGCATATTACCAGGAAATTCCGATTCCATTATTTTTGCCCGAAGAGTTTTGCCTATTATTGAAGAAACTTTCCAGCTAGGTAATAAGGAAATCCACACTGGAATCAGCCTTTGTAGTGACATTTTATGTGAAATATTTTATGACCTTAAAAGACCTCTATTGATTTTGAGATCAAAATATTAATGATTTAACACACACACAAAATCTTGAATCTTGGATAGTC